TGTGTGTGTGTGTGTGTGTGTGTATGCAACTGTTGAATCTATCTAGTGTTGCCTATATGCATATGTTTTCAGAGAAAACCACTTGGAATTGGATAACCATTTAGAGGACTCATGCCAGAGGAAGACTGATTCTCTCTCAGCAGTCTTAATTACCTTGTAGCTCTTCCTCTAATGATTCCTTGTGAAATTTCCTCCATTCACATTGGATGTGAACTGTTGTGGTCATTGTTTAGGTCTTGTTGAGGCAGCTATATTGTTTGGATTTCATGAGTGTAGTTTTCCTGACTTATTTTGAAGACACCATCTGGAAGCAGATGTGCTTGTCCTCTGGCTCTCACAGTCTTTGTACCTCCCTCTTCTGTGATGTTCCCTGAGTCTTTGGTGTTAGTGGTTGTGTTGTGGATGCATCAGGTGGGGTTGGGCATCCATCCCAGTCAGTTGTTATCTTCATTTTGTCCAGCTGTGGCTTGCTGCAAAGGTCTCCATCTGCTTCTAAGAGGAGCATCTTTGATGAAGGGTAGGAGTTATGCTTGTCTTTGGGTATGCAGATAAGTGTTAGAATAAAGTTAGGAATTACACAGGTTTAGGACAGTGGCAGTAGTAAGTTGTCCTCTAAGGTATATGACCTCACTAGCCACAGGTAGTTGGCTAAGTTTCCAGGACCAGGCAAGATTTTCCTCCAGTTGAATGGGTCCCATGTCCAATTAGACAGCAGTTGGTTATCCCCAAGATATAAGTACCACTTTAGGGATATCTTGCTAGATATGGAGGAAAATTAAAAGCTTATGTACTTTAATTTTTTTCTATTTCTTAAATTAGTGCTTTTAGGTTTTATTTTACAATTCTTGTGTGTGCATGTGTGTAAAGAGAAAATCCTTAAGAAAATCAGCAGTAGAGTTACTAGAGATGTGACTTAATGGTAGAGTGTCGAGCTGCCCTAAAGCCCTGGGCTCAATTCCTTTCACTGTTTTTTGTTTCGGTGGTTGTCCTTGCTATTTAAAATAAATTATTTCCCTGTGATACTTCTATCTTTTCACATTACATTTTAAAACTTGAGTCCATTTAAAGTTTACTTTTCTGCCCCACTCCCACGGTAGAGGAAGACTGAATCGGAACAGAGACTAAATGGCTATCTATTTTATAAGGAATATGAATTTAAGATAAGCCTTCTCTGATTGTTAAACAATAGCACATATTTCTATAATTGTTTGGGGGGGGGATTGTTTGATTGTTTGTTTTAGAGACTGGGTTTCTTTGTGTAGCTTTGGAGCCTGTCCTAGAACTTACTCTGTAGACCAGGCTGTCCTTAAACTCACAGAGATCCGCCTGTCTCTGCCTCCCTAGTGCTGGGATTAAAGGCATGTGCCATCACTGCCCAGTGTATAATTTAAATAGCATATCTACATGTATTATTGATTCATCCTTTCTACAAATATGATTTGAGTGCCTCCTTTGTATAAACACTAGCTAAGTCTTGTAGATAACGCTGATGACTCAGAACCCAGAAAGCTTATAGTCTAGACGTTAAGACACACATAAATAACCATAGTTAGGTTTTATTAGTATTCAAGGCGTTTGTGTTCCAAGACAAAGGACTGCCCCAAAGGTACACATGGTTGAAAGTAAAAATGAACACAATTTATTGAGAAAGATAACACACTTCTGAGAATGGGAGTGGGCCAAGAAGGTGAGAAAAAAAAATCATTGGTTGTCATGGGACTTTTACATGGTTCTGCCTCTCCCCAGTTTGTACCACCGGGGCTTTTTTTTTTTTTTTTTTTTTTTTTTTTTTTTTTTTTTTTTTGCACTTTTTCTGTTAGGTCCATGAAGCCCAGGAGAAGTTTCCAATCTTTCTTGGCAAACTAGCCCATGCTCCATTTACTGTATGAAGCTCAAGTGGGCAAGGGCTACCAGTCTTTGTTAACTGGCTTCAGTTTCTAGTCCCTACTATCTTACCACAATCTAAACTAACTACCCACCTCAGTGAATAATGTTGATTATGGACACAGATGGGAGGAGTCAGAGAAATATTCTATTATCAATTGAATGCCTAATATATGCCAGAAACTCAGGAAAATAAATGAAAGGAAGTTTTAGGTGTAATTGGAGTTTTCAAGAAGGAAAACCAGTACCAGTCATGATGGTGACGACACTGGGTGAAAAAGTGTTAAGCAATCAAAAACATGAATGTATGAGGGAATTCTAAATGGGTGCAGGGTGGGGTGACAATTTATCATCTTTGCCTAATACGTGGTTTTCAGGGATTCGAATTCAACGCACACAAAATTCAACACGCTCTATGTAAACAGGGATGTCCATTGAAGATTTAATCATAACTTTACCACAGTTAAATTGAACACTGGTATTTCTGAACGCCGTCCCACAGTTTCAAAAGTGCAACTCAGATAAAATAAAATGTTAACAGTGCCGCGACTAAGGCAAGAGGGAGTTTCTAAGGCGCCACTCCACCTCGAGCCCGGGCTGGGTAAATAAAAAAGGGATGGGAAGCGAAGGTGGGTCTCCACCGTCTTGCCAAGGCTCAGTAGCAGGTCATCGCTGCAAAATGAACTTTGCTCAACGGGAATCACTTTGCCCCGCCCTGCCACCTAAAGCTCCGCTCTGCTTTGACTGACGGTGGCTGGCGAGAGCACGTCCTCACTGGCGTCCGGCCCCAAACGCCTGACCCTATAAGCAGGGTGACACCGGAGCCCCGGGTGTGACCAGACAATTGCACCGGGCACACAAACTGCTAGACTGCACACCGGGACCCACCGCGCCACCTCCCAAGGAAGACGTGACGCCCTCGGCGACCGCCTGTCCGTAGACTGAGGGAAGGTCCCCCGGTACGCACCGAGCACGCGGGGTTCAGTCGGGAAACATTAAATAATGCCAAAAAACTGGGCGTTCCACCCGTCCCAAGGAGAATTTGGAGTGGAACTTCGGGGAGCCGTAAAACCGGCGGACGCAGGCAGGACATGGGCAGCCCTGCCGTGAGGACCCCGGAGGCCCCGCCCTGCGGCAGGCGCCAAGTTTCAAAGCCTGGCGCGGCCCAGACGGAGACCAGCGGGTAGAAAGATGAGGCTGCACTGTGAGGTGGAAGTCCTGAGCCGGCACTTGCCAGTCTTGGGGCTCAAGAGCCGAGGCAAGGGTGTGCGAGCGGTGGTGAGCCTGTGTCAGCCACCGCGGAGGAGTGGGCTGCAGCCCCTAGCAGGGGCCGAGCCCGGCCGCGGCGCCTGCCTGCTGGTCTCCACCATGAAGGACAAGCACGGAACTCGCTACCAAGTAAGCGATCGGGGCGCCTTGAGCATGCACCCACTCCCAATTTCGCGGCGGGCTTCTAAGGGCGAGGTGACTTGTTAGATAGCGACACCGTCCCCCACTCCCCCCGTGTACAAGCTTCTGACATTGCTGCAAAGCAGCTGATTTGAAGGTACAGTAAAGTAACCCCGCATCATCATCTACGCATAGTGTTTCTCAGAGCTTTTTATTTCTTTCCCTATGAAAATAGGATGTCTTTAAGAGATGATGAAAAGAGGTTGGGGCTGTAGCTCAGTTGTGGAGAGCTTGCCAATAAATGATGGGGTTCTGGGTTCGGCCTCCAGCACACACAGAAGAGAATGCATTTAACAATGAATGAATACTATCCAAACTTGAGTTTGGGTTGAATCTGACTTGTTGTTGTTGTTGTTAAAGTTGTTTAGCACATATATCCTCTGCTTTATTTATTATGTCATAAGTGCTTGGCCTGAGGTCCAGAGACTCTTCGTGCCTGAAGAGTGGCAAACTCTGAAGTCTGTCCAATACTGAACCGAAGGATGAACCGAAGGAAACAAGATGCATACCATCCGTTTTCCTTCATTACCACACACTGCTATTCGGTGAAAAACAAGATGTCTTTGTGTCCACCATGGAGATGAAGGAACGATTCATTACCCACCCTTGTATCTGATTTTTTTTTTAGTGCATTTTATATGTTTTTCTAGGATTCTTTCCCTTATCGTTCACAGCAAAGACTTGAGGGGAAATTATTATCTTTTTTTTTTTTAAGATTTTATTTATTATGTATACAACATTCTGCTTCTGTGTATATCTATCTGAACACCAGAAGAGGGCACCAGATCTTATAATGGATGGTTGTGAGCCACCATATGGTTGCTGGGAACCGAACTCAGGACCTCTGGAAGAGCAGTCGGTGCTCTTAACCTCTGAGCCATCTCTCCAGCCCGAGAGTATTATCTTATTCAAGCTATTCATTCATTCACTTTTGGAGTTCTGGAGATTGAACCTAGAACCTGTGCATACTAGGCCAGCTGTGCCACTAGGTAGCTAAGAATGGCCTTGATCTTCAGATCCCCTGCCTCTGCCTCTGAAGTGCTGGGGTTCCACCTGGTTTGTACTGCTGTGTTGAGGATAGAACCCCAGGTTCCTGGTAGGCATTCTACCATAGGTACTCCATTTCCTTCCAGCTAAATGGTAGATTGTAGTCTAAATTGTTCCCCTCCTGTCTGGTCTGTTAAGGAGTCTGCTTCTACTGTTGTCCTTCTTTTACCCTGTCCTTCTCTCCTTCAATATTTAATCCCTGAACTTGAGAGGCAGAGTCAGGAGGATCTCTGTGAGTTCAAGGTTAGCCTGATCTACAAAGTGAGTTCCAGGACAGCCAGGGCTGTTACACAGAGAATAAAAGTTTTGAGCACCAGTTGTATCAGTCAGTGTTCTAGCTCAGAGGTTATCTAGCTGAAGGCATGTCACCTGGAATAAGGGACTGAGGCTGTGAGCCACTGCTGGCACTTCTTACTATAGTCATGTAACCGGGTTGGAAGAAAGGGAACATTTTCTTAAAATAAAGGAAAGACAAACAGAGCAGTAACTATTCATCTGCTTAAAAAAGAAGAAAAGCCAGACTGGAGAGATGGCTCAGAGGTTAAGAGCACTGGCTGTTCTTCCAAAGGTCCTGAGTTTAATTCAGGTGGCTTACAACCATCTAAAATGTGACCTGGTACCCTCTTCTGGCCTGCAGGCAGACAGAGCTTAGGTGAGAAGTTTTATTAGAAAGGGAAAGGGGGAGAAAAGAGGTTAGGAGACACACACAGAGAGAGAGAGAGAGGACAGAAGAGAAGAGGGAAACGTCTTGTCTGCCCCAGGGGAACAGCAGAAAAGAGAGAGATAAAGAAATAGGAAAGAGAAGAGAGCAGAAAGAACATGAGTGGGCAGAGGTCTTTCTTTTAAAGGGGTCCTTTGCACCTAGGCTGATCAGGGTACTGCCTGAGTGCATTCTGCCAGGTGACAGGGGCAGACCAATATAATGCCTGAATCCTTAGAGGCAGAACACTGTATACATAATTAAAGAAAAAAAAAAGCCAACCAAACAAAAACTTCATAAAACACTTAGTCCATTGGGGCTAAAAGCTAAACTAAAACTTGGAAGAAGCCTGGCACAGTCTAGTTGCAGTGAGTGTTACTGAATAGTAATGACTAGTTTTGTCCTCCCCCACGACCTTTGATTTTAATTAGCTGAAAGAAAACATTGAACAGCTCTTCACCAGATTTGTGGATGAAGGGAAAGCCACTGTTCGGTTAAAGGAGCCTCCTGTGGACATCCATCTGAGTAAGGTAGGATACTGAAAACAGTAACAAAAGATACGCAAACTAGGTGCAGCTTTGAATGCTTGTAATCCCAGCACTCAGCAAGTGAAGGCAGGAAGATTTCTACAAGCCCAAATCTAGTGTGATATACATGTCAAGTTCTTGGCCATTCAGGGGTACTCAGGGAGACTCAGGGAGACTGAGTCTGAGCAAAAAATAAAGACAAAGATCGGCTGTTAAAGCATCTTGATAGCCCACATAGCAATTACAGACAGATTCTTGCAGGTGTATTAGTTTGTTTGCAATAGGGTCTTAGGTAGTGCAAGCTGATCTGAAATGGATAGCAATCCTGCCTCAACTTCTGATGCTGGGGTTACAGGCCTGAGCCACCACATACAGCGTTCCAGTGTCTGTCATTATTGCTGCTATTACATTGTCTTGGGCATTGTTCTACTGCTGTGAAGAGGCACCATGACCACAGCAACTCTTATAAACGAAATATTTAGTTGGGAGCTGGTTTACAGTTTTAGAGGCTTAGTCCTTTATCATCATGGCAGAGAGCTTGGCAGTGTGCTGGAATGTGCTGCCACAGTATCTGAGGCCTTTACATCCTGATCTCTGATATATAGTCAGAGAGACTGGTACCGAGACCATTGTGAGCTGCCTCATGTGGGTGCTGGGAACTGAACTGGGTACTCAGCAAGAGCAGCCAGTGCTCTCAGCTGCTGAGCCATCTCTCCAGCCCCACTCTTATTCACTCTGTGTGTGTGTGTGTGTGTGTGTGTGTGTGTGTGTGTGTGTGTGTGTGTGTGTGTGTGTGTCTGTGTGTGTGTGTGTGTGTGTGTGTG